CAGTATTTACTGATAAATTTGATTTCTAAAATGAAATGTTGTGAAGGTTGTGTGTTTCTACCTGTTGTTACAATCTGTAGATATTGGTTGTTTATCGTTGTACCAGTAACACTTGTCTTGTAAACCCTGGTTATACCTTCAGATATTAGAGTTCGAGATCTATCCAACACGTGTCCTAAACATTTATAAACACGTGTTCTGAACATTTACAAACACGTGACCTAAACATTTATTAACACGTGACCTAACATTAAAAACACGTGACCAAACATTAATAAACACGTGACCAAACATTAATTAACATGTGTCCTAAACATTTATTAACACGTGTTCTAAACATTTTAAACACGTGGTTTAAAATTTTTCAAACACGTGGTTTAAAAATTTACAAACACATGTTCTAAACATTTATTAACAATTAACATGCATTCGAAACATTTTTAAACACGTGTCAAGGACTAACCTGTAGGGTATATTCCTGGAGCTATTGTGTAGAAATCCTTTTTTATAGTTCTTGTATGATCTTCAATTTTCACTTGTTCTCGGGAACCTGAACCTTGCTCCAGTTCTAACTTTACACCGGAGTCAATCAATCCTTCAACTCTCTCCGGGGTAAGATCTTCATCTGCTGTTAAAGACGTGGATTCCATCTAAACATTTGTGGTTTCATATGGAAAAGTGCAGAATAAGGATAAAGTATGTAAGAGTTTCGAAAGAAGAGATATGTTTTTTATTACACAAATATATAAATTAAATATATTAAGTATTAAGTATAGGATTCTAAAGGTTAATGATTTGGTAGGCTTTAACCAAGCTATATTCATGTTTAAATATACACATAAACTTCTTCCTGCATCTTTTGAAAACATTTTTAAAAAGCTTGAAAACTTTGAAAGATCTCTTAACTATCAACTTGATATTTTCAAAATGTGCTCATAAGAGTATTTACCATCAAGCTCTCTTCTTAAAATTTGGAATAACCTGCGCGCCTCTTGACTTAAAAAGAAGCAACTCTCTAAGTATGTTTAAAAATAGACTATTAAACTCTCTATTTGAAAATTATATTAAAATGTGTTATAAACTGAATTTTTATTAATGTAAAACTAATTAAATATGTTTTAATATGTGTTGATATTTGTTTTGTACATGTCAGAAAATTATTTTTAAATCTAGTTATTCTAACAACTTCATAGGATAAAATCGCACCCTGATCTCTAATGTTCTCCTCAAATCTATTTAATTGAAATGTTTTGTTATTATTATTGAAGTTAGGTGGAAAAAATAATCAAAAAAGCCAAGAGCTATTTTAAACATATAAATATTTAAATACAAATTAAAATGTTTTCATAGCGATCAAATATTACACTTTTTAATGTATAATTAGGGTTTTTGTAATTTCAAATAGGTGGACTATCCCGGAAAATTAATTATTTTCAATCTGATGAAAATGATGAAAATGAAGTTAGTATCATGACGATATTTTCCTGAGATGCTAGACAGAAAATGGAGGGCCGGACACTTAAATTAAGTTTATATTCCGTTAAAAGAATCATCAGACTAAAAGCAGAAATAGTGGATTTTTTTCATAAACTGACTGTTAACAAAATTAAATCTGACCTGGCTTGACGGGCTTGACTTTGAAGGATTGATGTTTGTGAAAAGGTTTTCAAGGTCTAGGAAACCTGATTTAGAGGATTCTAGGTCTAGGAAACCTGGTTTAGAGGATTCTAGGTCTAGGAAACTAGGTTTTGAAGGTTCTAAGTCCAGGTCTAGGTCCAGGCCTCGGGTTGACAATAATCCAGATTCTAAAGAATTTTAAAGATGAATCTTTTAACGAAGGATTTTCTTTTGATGTTACAACTTTTTGATTATAATGAAGATAGAAAACTTACTGATCATCTGAACAACTTTGAGAAATAAAAAAAGGTCACAAGCTAAAATTGTTCGATTTAAGGCTAAACTAAAAGCAACTCAGAGAAGTTTGTAGTAAGATTTCAATTCTACTGGAGACCACCGGAGGGATTCCACTTTCACTGGAGGGGTTTGAAAGTCACTTGTTACAATTTGAAACTTTACGCAGGGTGATTTACAATCCATTGGAGGGATTTAGATATCCATCCAGGGGGTTTATAATTCCACTGGAGGGATTCAGATAACTATTTATGGGGTTTATAATTCCACTGGAGTGATTTAGATATCCTTCCTGGGGTTTTAAAATTCCACTGGAAGGATTCAGATCCTGGGGGTTTAATCTTACACTACAGGGATTTAGATATCCCTCCTGAGGGTTTAAAATTCAACTAGATAGATTCAGATAACTATCCAGGGGGTTTATAGATCCACTCGAAGGATTTATTAATCCTTCCTGGGGATTTAAAATTCCACTGGAGTGATTTATCGTACTATACAGTGGGGTTTAAAATTTCACTGGAGCGATTCAGATATCCATCCAGGGGGTTTATAATTTCACTGGAGGGATTCAGATATCCATCCAGGGGGTTTATAATTTCACTGGAGGAATTCAGATATCTTTCAAGGGGGTTCATAATTCCACTGGAGGGATTCAGATATTCATCCAGGGGTTCATAATTCCATTGGAGGGATTCAGATATCTTTCCAGGGGGTTCATAATTCCACTGGAGAGATTCAGATATCTTTCCAGGGGGTTCATAATTCCACTGGAGGGATTCATTATGCATTCAGGGGGTTTACAATTTTACTTTAGGAATTCGGATAGATCCCGGGAGTTTATAATTCCACTGGAGGGAAAGATATCTGCATATCTCAAGTGGAATTATAAACCCCCTGGATGGTTATCTAAATCCCTCAAGTAGAATTATAAACCCCCAGGAAGGTCATATGAATCCCTCCTGAGGATTAATAAATCCCCTTTAAAGATAGCTGAATCCCTCCAGTGGAATTATAAACCCCCTGGCAGGACATCTGAATCCCTTCAGTCCAAATTAAAAAATCCCTAGATGGATATCTGAATCCCCCATGTGGAATTATAAACCAATTTGAAAGATATCTGAATCCCTCCAGTGGAATTTTAAACCCCCTTGAAAGATATTTGAATCCCTCCAGTGGAATTTAACCCCCTGGACGGATATCTAAATCCCTCAAGTGGAATTTTAAGCCCCCTGAAAGAATAGTTGAATCCCTCGGCCCTCCAGTGTAATTATAACTGATATATATCTGAATCCCTCCAGTGGAATGTAAATTACACTACGTAAAGTTTTAAATTGTTAAAAGCGATTTTCAAACCCCTCCAGTAAAAAAGAATTCCCTCCGGTGGTCTAAAGTCGAGTCAAAAGCTTACTACGAACTTCCGTGCAGACTCTCTAAAAGCCACATTTCTATTGCTTACTTTGCAGATACGTTAATGCAATTTTTCCATTTTTAACTTTGAAAATTGGACTTTGATTTCTCTATAAAAGTGCCTTGCTGAATTCTAGCTACTTCAGATTTTGTCACAACTAATCACTTTTCAGATCAGAAAACACGACGATTTCTTTAACATCACTGAGCAAATAAAGGTTTAAAGGATACAACTGGGAATCGGGCATGGCATACTTTAAATAAAGGGTTAAATAAAATTACAAGAACAGTCCCTTTAAATGACTGATTTATTGGTTGTGTTTACCTGTACTGGCCGAGGGCTGGGATGTAAAGACCATGATTTTATCCTGCATTGTAGTAGTGAAGTTTAGAAATCCATATGCTGTTTCCGTAGGTAGGCTTGATAGGGTAGACCTAATATTATTATTATAATTATTTTTATTATTGTTATAACTATTATTATAATTATTAGCATTATTATTATTATTATTATCACTATTATTATTATTATTATTATTATTAATGAACTTTACACTCTGTTAACAGTTCGTTAAACAAAGAAAAACGTAGATTAACGCTAAACAAAACATAGCTAAACATGTCCTCACTAGAGACACGCTGAACAAAACAGAGCTAAATATGTCCTCACTAGAGACACACACCACTTTGAACTAAATGAAATTGAACGTAAGATTGAAGATGTAACTTGTAGAACTATTGAAAAGAACAAAGTTTTTTCGAAATTCTGAAAAAGTATTTACTTTTTTCTGGTGCATAAATAAAACAAGAGGAGCTACGAGGTGACAATGTTGTTGCAGTAATGACGCATAAATTTGACCAATCTCCTTCTGTTAAGTTTGCAGAGACACTGCAATTGTCAGATAAAAACACATCGTACGATGAACTGGTGGAAGCTGAAGATGTATGGACCAAAGACACAACATAAAGTTATTGGCCATGGACATCTAAATCCGCGTGGCATATAGTTTACTGATTGTTCACAGTTTAATATATATTTTTCACAGGATATCAACAATTAATCAGTTGATTACAGAATATACACTCTATACACTGATATCAGCAGTTAATCAGTTGATTACACGATATACACTCTATACACTGATATCAGCAGTTAATCAGCTGATTACAGGATATACCCTGATATCAGCAGTTAATCAGTTGATTACAGAATATACATTCTATACACTGATATCAGCAGTTAATCAGTTGATTACACGATATACACTCTATACACTGATCATGGAAAATTCAAAAAGTAAATTTTATGCTATATTGGAAACTAGCTGAAGTGCCCGGCGGTGCCCGTGGAATTTTTTAAAATCAAATTTGGAGAAGAAAAAAATTTTATTTTTGAAAATAAAAATTCTAGTTTTGAAAAATTTTATTTTTGAGATAAAATTTTTTAAATTTTTTTGTCTATGTTACCCCCGGGATACAAAAAAATCCAACCAATTCGGTTCAGCCGTTTGGCCAACTATAGCTAACATACATACTTAACTATGTATACAAGCGAAGCCCTTTATTATTTACGTTTATAATTTTATAAAGTAGTAACCAGAAAACTCTGAAATAGGAAGACGAAGTTATGGCATTGAATAGTCCAATCACACCCCAGACTAACCAGAGGGAGAAGCATTGAATAGTCCAATCACACCCCAGACTAACCAGAGGGAGAAGCATTCGGTTTCTTTATTTGAAATCAAACGTGTTTTGGTGTATAATTCAACAATCTCTAAACTTACGGATTTGTTTATTTTATACTTTTTCATTCGAAATGTATATGCCGACAAAAAAGTATTTAAGAAAAAAGGCTAAAATATTATGTATAATGGTTCAAATTGTGATCGAAAGCCAAAGCTTTCTGATATATTGACAGAACCGTTAAATTCACGTGATCAGCATGGGACACGGCAATTTTGCAGTGTAAACACACCCATTTTACTAAACTAGTGATTTAATAATTGTCTTGTAAAACTATTTGCTTTGTAAAAACATCAAATACACTTAGTATATTGCTATAAAATAGTCCTCCTTTTTCAGAGTTTTCTGGTTTTTACTCTAATGATGAAGCTTAGTGTCAATAGTTCTATTGTTACAAAAGTTGTAAAATGTAAAGATATAACCATGTGTTATCCTTAATCAGTTTTTACGCATTAAAAATAATAATAATATAACTTAACGCAAAACAGTTTTAAATCATAAAGAAATTTAGAAGATATTTTGAGAAGAATTAAAAAGTTTTGTATCTCTAACATGTAACCATTAACAAATAACAAATAATTTAAGCTTTTCATCATATTTATTGCTGGTCGAAGTTACAAAGTTTACCGTAATTATTTTTAAAATGAACAAATTGAGTTCGATGAAAAATGTCGACTTGAAAAACAACATTTAATTGCTTAAAGGAACTGAGTTTTTGTCACACACTCAAATTGTCTAATCCCTGTATCTTTACAATCTGATTTTGTAAACCTTTGATATTTCAAACTTAGATTATTTGGTCTAGCAGAATTAAAAGTTTGAAATATCAAAGGTTTACGACATTGGGTAGCAAAGATATGGATATTAGAAAAGTAGAGTTTGTGACAAAAACTCAGTTCCTTTGACTAGTAAAGGTCTATCAGATATTATATATATTAAATATATATTTGATGGATTATACGGTTTGATCAGCTAAATCAATATGAAGGTTTATAAAACCCAACCATCCATCAGATATCATATTTTTTATCCAATATTAAAAAATCAATAAGTCAGCATTTATCTATGGTATGATTAAATTTCTTTGATTAGTTGCCTCAAAGTCCTATTTAAAAATGTTCATATTTTTGTGACCCATATTGTCGTAGTTATTTGAAACTATGAATTCTGCATGACCTAAAAGTCAAGATTTATCAGGTGTCAAAGATTTATGATTCAGAAAATTATAGCTTGAGGCGAGTAATTAGCTCCTTTGTTTTTATAACTACTATATTGTACACAAAAAGTAAAAATATATCTTTCTACACATTCATCTCCGTAACTCAATTAATTTATTATGCAACTAGCTCAAGTGTCCGGCGTTGCCACTGCCAGTGGAATTAAAAAAATAAAATTTTGAAAAACAAAATTTTTAATTTTAAAAGAAAATCAAATTGTTTAGCCTTTGTTACTCAAAATATTCGTCATAGTTTTACACCAAATAGAAGGATCGAACTACAAAAACTTATTTCTATGACCCTTTCTAAAATAAATTCTATTTGCTGGGGCACATTTTTGAGTTATTTCAAAGGATAAAAGGGGCTAAAATAGCCTAATCCCTGTTTTTTGGGTCACCCTGAGTATATGAGCGAAGAGCTTCATTATATATACTAATCATAAAAATGGGCCTCTATGTCTAATATAAAGGAAAATAAACTTTAAATGCACACAATTCTTGGGTGAAAATTCGGGCACTAAAAGAGTGCAAAGCAGTTCTGGTTTTCACCCTTTTAGCAAATAAACTTCTTTCTAATGATGAAGGTAAGATTTAAATCGTGCAAATCGGTTTTTCAAGAATATTAAATATTGTGTAAAACTAGATAATAATATTTACAAGGTAAAATGGTAGCGTTTCACATTGACAAAAAGCCTTGTCATGTCAAAGAACTGAAATATCTAAGTTGAACTATATTTGCTTATCAGCTGAAGTTTATTATTTATATTTTTAACCTTTAAATTGTCTTTAGAGATTTATTTCTAAGAATATACTAAAAATTTTAAAAACAATCTTCCGATTGCTTAACACCACTAACAATTTCTACCTAGCTACAGATTTTTTATCTTTTTTTTCTGTCTATCTGTCCATCTGTCTTTCTGTCTATCTGTCTATCTGTCTCACCGTATATCTGTCTATCTGTTTATCTGTCTATTTGACTATCTGACTATCTGTCTATCTGTCTATCTATCATCTATCTGTCAATCTATCTATCTATCTATCTATCTATCTATCTATCTATCTATCTATCTATCTATCTATCTATCTATATCTATCTATCTATCTATCTATCTATCTATCTATCTATCTATCTATCTATCTATCTATCTATCTATCTATCTATCTACCTGCAGGGTGATAAATGAACTGGAAATGACGACTTGTTGAAACAAATTACTTTAATTGACCAATGATAATTTATTAAAATGGCCAAAGATCTTTAAGTTTTGTGCGTTTAGTGCAAAGAAAGATAGATCGATAGTTTAAAGAAATATGTAAATCTTTACATTGGCAGGAAGTCTAAAAGATCAGAGTTTACTAGAATGATTGGATCATGTCTATCTACTGCAATTTTTACAGTGCTACCACCAATACTAGTGTGATGAAAGGCTGAATAGGTGGATGAAGGAATGAATGAATGATAAATTACAAATGATGAATGATGAATGATTAATGATGAGTGCGAATGATGAATAATTAATGAATTGATGAATGATTAATGATGAGTGAATAAATGAATGGCTTGAATTCGTGATGAATGGTTTATGATTTCTTTTAATGGATTTAAGCAACCTAATTCAAACTGACACTTAATACGCCAATTAGATCTATACTTTCGAACACACAGACAGTGACACACAGACATAAAGATCTTTACTTTCGAACATACAGACAGTGAGTGACACACAGACATAAAGATCTATACTTTCGAACATACAGACAGTGACACACTGACATAAATATCTATACTTTAGAACATACAGACACACATACTTAAAGATCTATACTTTCGAACATACAGACAGTGGCACACAGATATAAAGATCTAGACTTTCGAACATACAGACAGTGACACACAGACATAAAGATCTATACTTTCGAACATACAGACAGTGACTCACAGACATAAAGATCTAGACTTTCGAACATACAGACAGTGGAACACAGACATAAAGATCTATACTTTAGAACATACAGACAGAGACACACAGGTATTCTATACTTTTGAACATGTAGACAGTGACACACAGACATAAAGATCTAGACTTTCGAACATACAGACAGTGGGACACAGACATAAATATCTATACTTTAGAACATACGGACAGTGACACACAGACATAAAGATGTAGATGTAATATATTTTTTAGATATTTTGTCAAACACATACATATTGAAGTCATCTAACAAACATATTGATCTAAATTGTATAACATTTATACATACTACATACATCAGTGAATAAAAAACAATCTTTTTATAACCTTTTATTCATAAACACACTGTTTTAAGCCATCAGTACATTTATTCTTACTTATACCTACATTTACATAGATATAGACTTTTAACATACGTACTGATGTACTCTGTATAACCATAAAAAGTTTAATTGTAAAATTTAAATAACTCAGTATTAGACCCTTTCCAAAAAAAAAGGGA